CGGCCATGGTGAGTGCCGAGGGTCTGCGGTGCGGGAGGAGGGCAAGGCCTCGCCGTGCCGGCCGAGGGGCGGAGGGGCCCAGGCAGGCCCCGAAGTGGGCCGGGTCTTCGGGCGCCAACTTTGGGTAGCCACCTTCGGGCACCCGCACCTGCCCGACGCGCTGGTCGCAGATAAAAGTGGCCGCAGCGTCTTTTAGTTTCCCTTTGGCTTAAAATCCCAGTTTACGAAATTGCCAGCTGGAAAACAAGCGAGCACGACTTTTGTTTTTGTTTTGTTTTTTAAAGTGGTTGTGAAAATATTTCACTTGAGGTAACTTAAGGTGCTCTTCGGTCCTCTGAGATCAGGCACCGTCTCCCTCTCAGCGCGCTCGCTGTAAACGGGGGAGACTGAATCTCGAATTAACTCATATGTCTTAGTGTTAATCTTTTGGAGGAATTACTAATAAATTATCTTTTTGGTGACACTTCTTTCCTCTTTCGAGGGGCGTCCCGTCCTCTCCCTTGCTTTAGAAATGAGCATTTTGGGGGTAAGTTAACGTGAGGGAAAGTTTTAGCATATAGCACCATCTAGTGGGAAAACGTTGCATTAAACTCACCATTTCATTTTCTTAAATTGCTCGTTAAGAGCCCATTTGGCTATTTAAAATTCTTTTTGGCGGGGAGGGTTGCGGGGGTAATTTTATTTGGTCTATTTATTTATTTAAATAGAGGCACTGAGGATTGAACCTACGACCTTGTGCATGCTAAGCATGCACTCTACCACTGAGCTATACCCTCTCCCACTAAAATTCCTTAATAGAAGAAATCTAAAATAAATCGGTGATGGAGAAGATAAGCACTCTTCTTCGTGGGCATTAAGGTGAGAACACAAGTTGAGTGCTTACTGTCACCTAGGTGTGTCCCAAGTCATACTTATACCACTCTAGGGTGCTGGTGCTCAAGTAAAAGTGTGGGATTTGGGGAGAAATGAATAAACAGATGTGATGGAGTGGCTGCCACGTGCCAGGCTCTATGCTGGCAGCCTTTACACTCAAGATATCTTTTAGCCTTTTGAAAACCTTGGCAGGTGGATATTGTTATATTCCTACAGAGACATGAGAACACTGCTATTCAGGGAGGTTTAAGTGATTTATTCAGCATCCATAGCTGAAAGTAGCAAAGCTAGGTCTTGAATCCAGATTACTCTCCAAATCCTGTGCGTTTCCCTGTCGTTCCCCACAACTCCTGCAGAAAAAAAATTAAGTCTGTCACAAAGTGTTCTGCAGAGGGTATTTCGCCAAGGGGGCCTTCTGTGTTGTGTAGGTGAAGTGACTCCATTTCACAGTACATGATCCCTGTTCCTGGGCAGACGTGTGGTGAGCACAGAGTACGTATCATTGACCTCACTGGGAATGTGGATGGTGGAGAGCAGAAGAAAACAGCTCAGAGTGTGCTCCTAGTGGACTCCTGGTGACTGCTGCATTACCCAAAGCATGGTTACTAGTTTTCTTTGCAGCTACTCAATGATAGTTCTGTTTCTTTTCCAAAATGCTCTGAGTTGACTTAAAATATTTAAGTGTTTAGTAGCAATTTTAGATTATTTCCTATAGTGGGTCTTTGTGTGACAATTTTCAGAACTGTCATTGTAAAACTAATGGATAGGTACTTTAGTTTTTAATAATAAATGGGTTTGATAAGAAGCCTTTAAAGTTGTTATTTAAGAGGTGTTGTCATTTTCTCTTTTGTTAGTTATGGGGAAAGGTAGCTGACCTCATGAGGAAGAGGACCTAGAAAATTGACTCATTAGCATCCTTTCCCCCTCTTCATAGAATAAATTGTCTTCAAATGAGCTTACTTTACCTTATTACTTACATTGATGTCAATGATAAAGGGTTTTTGGATTTCTGAAGTGGGAATGAGTTGCAGTTGCATGGTAGAGTCAGCTCAGCCCTCTGTTGCCCCTTTGATAAGGAGCCCTCACATTGGTTCAGTCTTTCTGGGTGCCGGTCCATCCCTCCCCTGACCCCCGGTAGCACTGCCAGTGGGTAAGGCAGGAGGTGTTCGTTGGCACATAGGCCAGAATGAGAACAGAGCTCTTCTGACTTTTCCTGGAGTGTCCTTTTCTTCTCTCTGACATGCCGTTTAGACTGCTTCCAGTTAACAAATAGCATGGGAAGAGTGGGCCTGATGACCAGCAGAACTCTGGGTTTGGGTACATCAGGGTATGCTCCGGACTGGGCTGTGCTCTGGCCAGACTGTGGAGGGAGTTTGTCTTACTGGTGTTCTGAGAAAACTCCACCAAGGCAAGGCCTCGTGGCTTTTTACCTATAGTTCAAAGGGTCTGTGGACACCCAAAAGTTATTAGACAAAATTCCCTGTAAATGGGCATTTGTTTTTTCCTCTCTCGGGATTGGTTTCTGTTAAAATTGAAAAGCGATAGTCTAGTCATCAAACCATAAGAAAAGAGAACAAAAAGAAGAAAGAGGGAAAAAAAGAAGAGACCTACAAAAGATTGCTTTGGCTGTTCGGGGTCTTTTGTAATTCCTTATAAATTTTGGAATTGTTTGTTCTAGTTCTGTGAGGAATGTCACGAGTAGTTTGATGGCGGTTGCGTTGGATCTGTGGGTTGCTTTGGGTAGTGTGGCCATTTTGATAGTATTGATTCTTCCAATTCAAGAGCACAAGAAATCTTTCCATTTCTTTGCATTATTTTGGTTTTCAGAGTATATAGGTAACCTCCTTGGTTAAGTTTATTTCTAGGTACTTTGTTGTTTTTGATGTAATGGAAATGTCTCTGCCAGTTATAAAATTCTGGTTTTTGAAGTGGAAAAAAAAAGTGAATGAAGGGCCACAAATGGCAAAAATATCCTTTTTTATGGGTGAGTTGTATTTCATTATATATATGTATGTGTGTATATATATATGTATATATGCTGCATCTCCGTTATCTATCTATTCAATTATTGATGTGCACTTAGGATGCTTCCATATCTTGGCAATTATAAATAATATTGCTGCTAATAGCAGGGTGTATGTATTTTTTGAATTGATTCTTATTTTGTGGTTGGCTTTATTTCTTTGATAACTATATAAGTTTAAAAAGCTAAACGTTCTTAGAAACAACAAACAGTACATATATGTAAATTAAAAAATATATGTGCAGTAAAAAAAAAAGAAGATATGTGAAGCCTTGAAAGACATAGAAGAAACTTAAAAGACATATTACTAAATGAAAGAAGCCAGTCTGAATAGGCTACAAACTGTACAATTCCAACCAAATGACATTCTGGAAATTGCACAGCTACAGAAACAATAGAAAGATCATGGTTTCCAGGGGTTTGGGGAGAGGGAGGGAGGGAGGAATGAATAGATGGAGCACAAGGGATTTTTAGGGCAATGAAATTATTCTGTAGGCTACTATAGTGGTGGCTACATGTCATTATGCATTTGTCAAAATCCATAGAATATACAACATCAAGAGTGAACCCTAATGTAAACTCTAGATTTTGGTTGATAATAATGTGCCCATGTTGGTTCATCGATTGTACCAAATGTGCCACACTGATGAGGGATGTTGAGGATAGGGGAGTATATATGTGTGGGTGGGGAGGGCTATGTGTGAACTCTTTGTATTTTCTGCTCAATTCTGTTGCGAACCTGAAACTGCTCTAAAAAAACAGAGTCTATCAAAATATGTCAAAAAAAGAAAAGAAAAGCAATGGTGAACCCAGATAGTTGAGACCCACGTGATAAGGACTGAAGATGCTAAGGTGGTGTGGGACCATCCAAAGAGCAGTAGACCAGCATTGAGAGCCCTGAGTTCTAATTGTGATTTTGCCAACGGGCTTGGAGGGTTTCCTTGGGTGGGTGTGTTTCCTCAGTTTGCCAAGTCCTGGAATGCCGGCCGCTGGTGATTGTCTTTGGTGAGATGACCAAATGGACAATCTCAGCTGTGTCTAATAAACCAGTTCCTGAATTGTAAAATTTGAAGCAGCTGTAGGGGATGATGAGCCCAGGTACCATGGAGGCAGTACAGAGCTAGCCTTGTTTTTGTCTGGTTTTTAAGAATTTTGTATTTTGAGAACAGAGGAACCAAAAATGGTAAGAAATTGTTGCCCTTAAGACTTTTTTCCCTACATTTCTACGTAAGGTAAAGAGCTGTAAGCTTATTTGAATTTAATTAAGCCTCTGCATTTACATTAAGTGTGTTCTTTTCAGTCAACAGATGCTCACTGGTTGACAGCAGAAGAGAGGAACCAAGTTATACTTGACCTTAAAGCAGCAGGATGGTCAGAATTAAGTGAGAGAGATGCCATCTACAAAGAGTTCTCTTTCAAAAATTTTAATCAGGTAATTATTACACATGCTTGCTAGTGCCGTGGTCTATTTTTATCACCTTAGGCTGTAATTCTTTCTCATACTATTGGTTGTCTGGTCCCATGTAGATCCAGGATCCAAGTCCTCCCTTCCTTAAGAATCCGATGATTCTTACTCCATTCTTGTTGACAGTTACTACCACCCAGCTGGGCATTTCTCAGCTCTTGGGAAAGGAGATGGTTGGTTATTTGGGATGTCAGATTGTGAAAGCAGTATTCCTTTGATTTGGTGTCGGTTATGAGATTAATTTTCTTTCAAATTGTAAATAACATTAAAAGAGAGTGTGAGCTTTTTATATTTATCAAAAGGAAGCATGAGTAAAAGCAGTTGAGAAACATACACCTGCTTGACTGATTTCCCCTACTTTTCTTGGATGGTTGTCAAGTTTTCGTTCTCCCTGTGCTTGTATTTCTGTCTCTAAATCATCTCCCAGGCTGCACCCTCTTCTCTGATTGGCTCATTTTCTCCAAGCCCAATAGCCAGCCCTGGAAGCTTTTAAAAGCTGGCCTCGCTTTGGAGACTCAGCCCTCACAGGGTAACTATTCCTTTAGGGCCCCACCCTGTTTAGAGAGTCATCTCCCATGACTTACCCTTCAGTTCCAACTCCATTGCATTTATATAAGGTCAGTGCTTTAGACTATTTCGTGTTTGTTCAGTTAGTTTGGTAATCCTCTGGACAGATTTATTGTTTTTATTTATATTAGGTGTCAGCATCTAGAAGGCAGAGACCATGTTTGCTTAAATAACTCTCTATTGTACCTAACACAGTTCTGGGTACACACAAGCATTTGATAAATGCAGACATTGATTACAGTGTTTGCTAGTTTCTGGAAGGGTGTGTGTGGACCAGATTTTCACTAAAGAAACCTTCGGCATGTTTTCCTAGTAAATGCTGTTGGCTCCACTGAGCTGCATGCCCTACTCTACTCTCCATCCATCTGGCTGCCAGCCTTCTGCTGTGTCTCTAACTCCTGAGGGAACCTGGACCAAGCCGACTCCTTGTCCCTGCTGCCCCACGTGCTCGACGGCTCTTGTCAGGGGCTTAGCACTCTGTGGCTGGTGGCAGGGAGTCCCATTGGTACAGTAAGCTTGTGCATAAGCTCTAGGTAGCATTTTCCAAGCTTATTAAAATTCTTACATGTGTACAGCCTGACTTCTTTAAGCCTGGGCTAATTTATTGGGCTTGAACATGTGGCTTAAAGTACTTGAGCAGCATTGCCTCAGGCTCTGCCTGTGAGTCAGTCGTCCAGCCCCACTCTAATCTGGTGCTCAGGGTACTTTCGGAAATGGCAGGGAAGGGAAGCTGTGCAGGGCATCCTTGATTACTTGTGACGTTCTTCACTAGGACATTTAGTTAACTTGACTTTTTTCACCCCCCCTTTCACTCAGCTTTTAGAAGAAAGAGGCAGATGACAAGAACATCAACCCATGTCAGGGAATGTATTCAGAGAACCAGCACTGAGATTATATCCTGGGGTCAGTTTTCCAGCCAGGCTCCCATGACTTCTGCAGTCATGGACGGTGGCCTCTAATGGCAGCTGATGTCGTGACAACTGTCAGTGTCCACCAGCCAGAGACCACCAGGAACACACCACTAGTGGAACAGGTTGGGCTGATGGCTTGTTGCAGTGAGGGAGAATGCACACCGTAGGGAACTGTGAGGTGTCTCAGAAAGACGATGTTGCAAAGACTGAGGATTTGGGCTTGTGGTAGTGATTTGGGACTTTTTAAGGCATCAGGGCTTGGCTCTGGTTTGGATGCTGTCAGAAAAAGGGTTTTTCTATGATTCACTATTTTAATAAACCTTACCTACAGGGAGAACGGACTAAAGTGGGGACAAAGCTGAAATCGGTAAAGAAGCAACAGTCACCGATTAACCGAGAGAGGAGGGTGTTCATATTTTGTCTGTGTTGAGATATCATTGCGGAATGTATCTGTAATACTCTGTATTACACTATATTGTTGTAATGGTTACAGTAATTGTGACAGGAGTGGTCTTGTTTTTGTCTTAATTCTTCACGGTCACAGGATGGCCTTGTCTGAAGTTGATGTTTATGTTCAACAGCAAGGCCTAGGTGTGAGAGCCGGGCCCTAGCAACCCCGAGGCCCAGGTGATAGGCCAGGCCAGGTGGCTCCCAGGTGGCAGGGGCTGCTTTTCTCTTTTTCACAACCAATGTGTAGACTTCTGACCCTCTGACACTGATAGAGCCTCACTTATCTTTCATTTAGGACTGAAAAGGTATTGTTTTTTATTACAAAGCAATGATAGAAAATGTTAAAATAGGATGGCTCAAATAAAAGATTTTCCCATTGCAACTGCTTTCATCTTTTTTTTCTTTTCTAGTCTTTCTTCATATGTATATGGAAATAATTTAACTTCACAGGTAGTGATAAGTCATGAGGAAGAATAAAGTAGGACATTGAATGGAGAATGATGGGGGTGGAGCACACTTTTCAAGACAGACTGAGCTGGCAAGGCCTCTTTGGGGAGGGGAAATCTGAGGCTGGAATAATGTGGGGGAGCTCACGTGTTAAGGCCCGAAGGAAAAGTGCTGCAGGTGCAGCAAGCAGTGAGTACAGGGTTCCTGGAGCAGGAGTGATCTCAGCGACTGAGGGAGCGCCAAGAGGCCATTGCTTGGGTTGGGAAGGGAGAAGAGGCTGAGGAGACGGAGGGCCCGGAGCACTGCAGCCTTGTCGCCGGGGCCAGGAGTCTGGGTTTTATCCTGTGAAGGAAAGCTCGTGGAGGATTTCAAGTAGAGAAGTGTTGTGATTTGGTTTGTGTTCTAGAAAGATCACCCTGCTGTTCTGCTGTGTACTGATGGTGGGAGGGCGAGAGTGGAAGTGGGCAGACAGCGTGGGTTGCTGTCACGGGAGACTTGGCAAGAGATGGCGGGAGACTGTGAGGTAGCAGTGGGATGGAGAGAAATATGGGGTTCCTCATTTATTTTGAAGATAGAGCTGTCAAGATTTGCTGTTACATTGGATAGAGGGCAAGGGGAGGGTCAAGGATGATCCCAAGGATTGGTTCAAGCGGTAGGGTAAAGGGTGGTGCTGTTGGTATTATTTCCTTAGCTGGGGAGTGGGGTGGAGGGCAGGGTGGGGACTTCAGACTCCTGTTTTGGACATGTCAGTTTCAGGTACTGATTAGTCATCTGTGTAGTGATAACAGATCAGCAGTTGGGCACATGAGGTCAGAGTTCAGGCTGGAGGTAACAGTCTGAGAGCTGTCAGAGGGGATAGTGGTGAGTGCAAAGACCCAGATCAGCAAGAGAGGACAGGAGGAGGCACAGGCGTGGGATGCCTGTTGAGACAGGAAAGAAGGCTGGGTGTATGTGTCCAGATGCAGGTCCGGTGCTGTGTTTGTCCAGGGAGGAAGAGGTAGTTCTCTTCTACTTGCTTCCTTTTTTTTTCAGTGAGGTCATCAATTGGGAATGAGTTGGGTGGGAGGGAGGAGCATTGGAGATGTGGAAAGATAGGATAAGGGGTGAAATAGTCCTCTTAGAGACTGAGACAGTGAAAGAACTGGTGAAATGTGGTGGGTTGCTGGACAGTTCTCAGTGTCACTGGAGATTTATGGTCAGATATTTAAAGTGAAGATTTTGTGTGTTTTGGCTAGCCACGTTCAGCTGCTTGGACACAAGCTTGGAGTAGGTGCATGGCTGCGCTTAACAAGGGCTGAGCTTTTGCCAGATTAGTGCTACGGAGGAACGGGGGAAAGGGAGCTAGGGGTGTGTGCAAGGAGGGAATCAAAACATTGGACCTTGAGTCTCAGCTGGTGAGGAGGGAAGTGCGGCTGTGAGGTAGGAGTGTCAGTTAATATAGTCTTTTTGGAGGGCACTTGAGCAATGTCTGTCAACTTTTAAAATACACAAACCCGTTTTCCTAATCTAGGAATTTATCTTTTAGGTGTAGTCCCCCATCTATTCAGAATGGATATGTGACGGCGTCCGGTGTAGCCCTGTGGGCCTATCATTTTTTATTGTGAGCGGGCATTTCCATGTGCACGTGTACGCCTCGCTAAGGCCATGTCTCCCTGGCTGCAGCCCTGCCCTCAGCAGGAGTTAAGGGAGGCCTGCTGTGCTCTACGTGCTCCAGGCAGCGGCAGCGGCCCTCCTGGCCTCAGCTCTGTACACCGGAGGGAGCTGTGGTCTGAACTGATGCCCTTTCCCTTAAGAGAGTTCAACCCATACTGGGTGTTAATAGTTTTTTTTTAGTCTTTGCTGAACGCATAGGTAATACGTTCCATTTTGTTCGTTAAGTAGTATATGAACATTTTTCAATTCTTTACATAGTCTTGTCATTTTACTTACAATAAATCTTCAGGAGTAAGATTATACTTGCTGGGTGTTACAGTTTTTAAGTGGTTTGCTTATACAGATGTGTAAAATGGTATCGTAAGTTTGCTTTAGAATTAATATCTTTCATTACTTTAGAAATTGAAACATACACTTTAGAAACATTTTCATTTGACTCTGGATAAAAAACCCATTTCTCAAAGCCTTGGGTTATTCTGGGTCTTACTATCTGAAGTAGCTAGTAAAATATGTTTGAACTTTTTTCCTCTTGGAGGTTTTATTCCAAGGTACAGTTACTTCCAAATAGTCCACGTGCATTTGATAGCTCAGATTGGTGCACATTCTTGGAGATTATGAATGTGAAAATTCCCAAGGGGTTCTAAGGTAGATGAAGTGGCCATGGGTTTTGGTTGCTGTCATCCCATTGCTTGTCCTTGGTGGCAGGGCGAAGGCAGTGGTAAGACTCGGTGAGCATTCAGAGTATGGCGGTGCCAGGACTGAGGCAGGAAGTTTCGACACTTGGAGCACTTGGACTCAGATAGGGTGGGGTTGGCCTCTGAAAGGCGTTTTGCTTTTTTTCTGTTCATGTAGACATAAGGAGGGAGAGGTTTCTAAGTGACACATAAACGTATTCTTAGGTGTTTGGCAACTGCAGGGTGACTGCATTGAAAGAGCAAA